AGGAGGTCTTACTTAAGATATCCACCAGAGCTTCTGTGGAAGCACATCCAGAAATCCTTTCCCAGCACTGTAGTGGGCTTTTTGGTCTCATTCTTGGGTCTAATAATTCTCATTGTCTGTCTGACCAAACACTATCCATGTGTGCATCACTCCTTAGATCTTCAGCGTGGTGTTTTCTTCTTTGCTCAGTTATTTTTCCTCTTCTATCCCTCACATATCTTTCCTTGGTGGAAGTCATTGCTGTCTTGGACAGCTCCTGGGGCCTGGTACCACATTATTCACTGTTAGATTCAGAGTCCTATTGCTGATGTTGAATTCAGACCTCCTAAATTCTGTGGATGTTTTTATATAGTCTTACTTTGAAAAGTCTTAGTCATGATAACAGTGAAGACGTGATCTCATGTTGATGTCAGACTAATAACCTAAATTTCCTTCAAAAGGTGATTGAATAAACTAATTGTGAGATACTCATCACATTACTGATACATGTAACTATGAGGATGAATCCCAGGAATAATACATACTGAATGAAGGAAGAAGCCAGGCAAAAAAATCCACATATTTTATGATTCCACTTTTTCTAGAACAAGTAAAGCTAATCTATAGTGACTGAGAGCATAGAGAAGTCAGTGAGATGATGTGGAAGGAGAGGGGACATTGTCCACAAAGGGCATGAAGAAGTGGTCTGTGTCTTGATTGTAGTGGTGATTATAAGTCTGTGTAAAAACTCATTATCTGTATGCACTAACTAGATGTTTCATGATGTATTTAAAGTTGACTTAAAAAGAATTCGTTTGAGCCTTGTAACCAACTCTTTGTGCTCTTGGGAAAGGAACTACATCTCTTTCCTATGAAGAGAATAAGGATGATAGCTCTACCTACTTCATTCCATTATTATGAAAATGCAGATTAAATTATTTATTTTGAAATGCTTGTAAACCGTATAAAGGGAGAAGGATGAGCAGTCTCCTCACACTAACATTTACAAGCCTCTGAAGCCTAATGGAATTGGAATCAACTTGACAGTAGTGAGTTTGGTGGATTTAAACAGTACTAAACAAACTTTGTTGCTGTGGAGTCAAAACTGACTCACAGCTGGCATTCCAGTGGCTTGTTAGAGACTATAAATAGTGTGGGACTAAATTGCCCATCTTTGTCCTGCAGAGCAGCTTACCATTGGGTTGACAGTTCAACTCCTTATTCACTGGGCCACCAGCACTCCCTTAAATAATATAAAGTAGTATATAAATGCTCTGTGTGTTGGGGTGAAAATTTCAAAACTCCTCTTTGGGGAAGAAATATTTTGAAACCTATTTGCAAGTCGTCTTTTTAACTTTTTATAATATTAAATGTGTCTCTTCTACTCTTTTACTATCAGTACAGTGAAGTGAGAAAATTCAGAGAGAAAATTGGAGTCTCAGTGACTTCTTAAAATCTTTCAAAATGTTAATGGTTCTTCTTAAACCTCTATAGAGTTTAAAGAAAATACTTTAAATTGATTAGAATATGATAATAATTTAAAGACTACTTTGTTGTTAGTGTTTAAATAAAAAAATTTCACACAGAATTGTGATTTTGTAGATTTTCTTTTAAAATTATCTGGGAAAAACTTGGTCCACATTCTCACATGTCAGCAGCCTGGCGTAGTAGCTGATCCTTTTAATGGGGGCATGCTCCAGATTGCCATAGTCTCGGTCATAGCCTTTTTTGTGATCTGTATGGCATAGTCCCTAGGGAGTTCCACTGCTTACCCAAAGACCACGCCAGTCTGACAGTTCAGTTCCACCAGTGGCTGTGCAGGAGAAAGTAGTTATATTCTTCCTATGCAATTTATTGCATCAGAAGCCAAAGAAGATCAGTTGTGAGTCAGTTTTGATTCCATTGCAGTAAATTTCAGGAAGCAGTCCTCAGAACAGAGCAAGGAAACACTACATGGTTTAAAATCAGGAAAGGTATGTGTCAGTGATACGTCCTGTCTCAATAGCTTTTTTACACACACACACACACACACAGAGAGAGAGAGAGAGAGAGAGAACAGATCATATGGGAAGCAGGGATTTATGAGGTAGTATCAGAACTGGAGAAAGACTCAACAACCTAAAAGTTATGCAGATCACACAGCCTTACTTGCTGAAAGTGAGGAGTACTTGAAGCACTTGTTGCAGAAGATTAAGGACTGTAGTCTTCAATATAGTTTGAAGCTCAGTATCAAGAAGACAAAGATTCTCACTTCTGGTCCATTTGGCAGCACCATGATGGATGGAGAAGATATTGAGGTTGTTAACAACTACAGCCTGCATGGCTCCACAATCAACACTCTTGGCATTATCAGTCAGGAAATCAAATGACAAATTTCACTCGGAAAATATGTGTTTGGGACCTCTTGAGAGTACTAGAGACTAACATGCACTAAATTCTGGTCATTGTCTTTGCAGTTTTACTTGCTGAGTATCAGAGAGCTGGACAATGACTAAGTTTAACAAAAGAATCAGTGCATGAGCATTGTGGTGCTGAAGGATCTTGAATATACCATGGGCTTGTATATTAGAAAACAAATATATCTAAGAGAGTGTGAAACAAGTTTCACCTTGGAGGCTAGAATTTTGAAGCTCCATATCACATACTTTGGGCATGTGGCCAGGAGGGTCCGATCCTTGGAGAAAAGGCATCATGCTCAGAAGGGTGGAGGAATGATGCAGATGAGGAAGACCCTGGATGAGATGCATTGATAAAGTAACTAGGACAATTGGAATCAGTGAGACTGGCTCAGGATAGGGCAGGCTTCAGAGGTGCTGTACATAGGGTTGCAGATACTCAACAATACATAACAACAACAACAACAATATTAAGAGTAAAATTTACTAATTCAACATTACTATGTCAGAGGAAGAAAATGGAAATGGATGTCAGAAGATACTGAATATTGCACTAGAATGCCAAGAAGCCAAAGCAAGGGGATGGGGAAAATCAGCAAGATAAGGAACTGAAAGGAAGATTTCAAAGGGCATCTCACAAAGACAAAGGAAAATATTATAATGAAATGTGTGAAGCTCTAGAGTTAAAAATGCAAAAGTACCAAACTTGCTCAGCATTTCTTAAGCTGAAAGAACTGAAAAATAAATTCAAACCTCCGGTCGCAATACTTAGAGATGCTATGGACAGAATACTGAATGATCCAGGAAGCATCAAAAGAAATTGGAAGGAGTACAGAGTCATTGTACTAAAAAAGAATTGGCTAACACAGAAAAATGTCATAAAACAGCATATAATCAAGAAGCAGTGGTGATGGAGGAAATTAAAGTTACTCTGAAGGAATTGTTAAAAAAATAAGGTCCCAGTAATTGATGGAAAACCAATTGACTTGTTTCACCAAACATACAGCCCTGGACATGCTCATCAGGTTGTGCCAAGATGGCTAGAGGACAGCTAACTAATTAGTCAGCTGACTGGAAGAGATCCGTATTTATTCCCATTCCCCAAAATGGTGATCCAACAGTGTGGAAACTATTGAACAATATCACGGATATCACAGGCAAGCAAAATTTTGCTGAAGAGAGTACATCAACAGAAAACTTAAGAAATATAAGCTGGATTTAGAAGACAGTATGATGTCAGTTGAATCTTTGCTAAAATCAGAGAGTGACAGAAGAATGTCTGTCTGTGTTTTATTGACTATGCAAAGGCATTTGTATGGATCAGAATAAATTGCAGCTAACACTGAGAAGAATGGGAATCCCAGAACACTTAATTATACTTTTGTGAAGTCTAAATTTATATCATTATAGAAGATCTTTTAGAGAAAAGTGAAAGCTGACATTAGCCATATCCCCAAATCATATTTGCCTACTTTCAGCTGTGTCTAATGGTATCAATATGTACTATCAAGTTCAAACTGACCGATAGTTGACTCTCCAGTGGGTTTTCAGAAGAAGCAGTTAATCACACAGGAGGAGATTGCCTATTTTTTCTTCCTGCAGAGCAGCTGATGGATTTGAATTGTTTTTGAGTTAGCAGTGCAGTTTCTTAACCACTAAGCCACATAGTTCTCTATGTAGAGTACTGCTTTCATATTTATGTCTTAGATTTATCTCACAGTAAGGTCCAGCTATTGTTAGCTAACATCAGGTTGGCCACTTAAGGTTATCCAGTGCACAAGAGAACCAAATGTTTCCTGCTTTTATGCTGTCATTATTGTGCATCCATATATTTGCTGATTTTCAGAGGTAAATTCCTGGGCTTTTCTTTCTAGTCTGTTTAAATCTGGAAACTCAGCTAAAACTGCAGCATCCTAGTAACCCTCAAGCTTCTATTGAAAGCTAAGAGGTGAGGCATGAGAATCGAACCTAGGAATCCTGCATAAATGGCAAGAATTCTACCACTGAAACACATCTACTTCCATGAGAAAGAGAAGGCTAGAGACATCCCTTTTGGTCTTATTGTTTTGATTTGGAAGATGGAATGAGGGAGGATAAGAAGGAAGTGAGAGGGGAGAATTCATTAACTATTACTGGAATCGCAGAAATTATTTTCTAGTTTCCTAAGTTAAGGAAAAAGTACAGAATTTAACAAGTTTTTGTTTTAATAAAGTCAGTGATTTGAAGCTAGTTTCTTTGAACCTCTGCTTTCTTAAACTAGGAACTAAATAGTTATAATGGGAAGACTCGTAAGAACTTGGGAAAAAAGAGTATCAAGGGTCTAGGGCAGTGGTTAAAATGTAGTTGGTTCTTTAGTTTTTAAAATTCATTCATTCAGTTTTTAAAATTTGAAGACTAGTACACAACTACTATTTTTCTTTTATACAAAAACCTGCATTTAGAAACCATTTCTGACTCAGAAAGTATTATTTCCAGGTTCTGTGGACTCAGTTGTGCCTTCTGGGGCAGACTGACAGGTACATCACTGCCATCTTGAGTGATGACCACAACTCATAGGCACTGTAGTCATCTCACTGATTTTTCAGATGTGACTCTAAAGGTCTTATATGTGTGTTTCTCTTACAGGGGGATTTGCTATTGTGTTTCTGGTGAGGACAAGCAGTGGAATGAAGTGTGCCTTGAAACGCATGTTTGTCAACAATGAGCATGATCTCCAAGTGTGCAAGAGAGAAATCCAGATAATGGTAAGGCTGTTGCTCAGACTGGAGAGTGTTTAAAATTAGGCAATAGCTAGTGGTTGATCTGAACTGTGTCCTCTTTTTTTTTTTTTTTTTTTAATTTTAAATTTTTTTTTCTTTTATTAGGAGGGGAAGACCCTCTATGAGATGGATTGATTCGGTGACTGGGGTAATCGGGATGGGTGTGTCAGAGGCAGTGCGGTTGGCACAGGATAGAGCAGGGTTTAGGGCTGTTGTGCATAGGGTCGCTATGAGTCGGAAACGACTCAACGGCACATAACAACAACAAGTTTTAATGAACATGTACAGAGATTTTAGTTTTCCATTCATTCATTGTTGCTAACTGTGTCCTCTTAAAATGTTGCCACACACTTTTAAATTGACGACTGTTCTTAGAAACACTTTTTTACCTTCGATGTTTTACCGTCATTTGCGGCCACATGTTAAGAGAAAGCCAGGTGAGCCTAGATCTTAGGCCTTTGAGTCTTTCCCTAGCCATTAGGGCTTGTCACTTCCCTAAGATGCCAAAGAAAGAAACCTCTGGGAAAGGTAGACGTGAACAGCATATTGCTGTTTTTAACTGCATCCTTTTTTCCTTTTTAATTGTGATTTTAATGAAAGTTTACAGAAAAGTTGGATTTCCATTCATTTATTGTAGCACATCTTCCAACCCTGCCCCATTTCACTTTTTTTTAAAAAAAAAATAGTCATTCCTTGTTCTGCCTTCTTTTTGTTAGGTTGCATCAAGTCAAGTACGACTTATAACAAGTATAGATCTGAATCTTGACCTATCCCGTGCCTTTCTCATCATCTGTGACACACCTGAGCCCATTGTTGTAGTCACCATGTCAGTACATTTCATTGAGGGGTTTTCCTGTTTTTCATTGACCCGCCACATTTCCAAGCATGATGTCCCTTTCCAAAGAATATCCTCTCCTAGCAGCATGCCCAACATATATGAGATGAAGTTGTGCCATCCTTGTCTTCCAGGAGCACTCTGGCTGCACTACTTCCAAGACCTATTTGTTTGTTTTTTTGAACAGTGCATGAGATACTGAGTACCCTTCTCTAACACCACATCTCAAAGACATCAGTTCTTCTGGCATCCTTTTTTCATTGTCCACCTTTCAAATGCATAGCAAGTAATTGAAAAGACTGTGGTCTGAATCACGGCTCCTACCTTGGCTGTCTTTAAATAGAAAGTTAAGAAGAAAAAATAAACATATTTAAGGAACTGAACAATTTTTAGGTCAAATAAATAGTTTGTGTTATTGGGAAAAGATTATTTAACAATTTGATTTCTAGTAATTATCTGTGAAATTTGGACCAGAAACTCTAGCCTATCTTCTCCAGTCGTGATGCCACAGTCCTCCTCATAAAGTCCAGCCTCTTGAATGATTGTTCTGCATATAGATTGAAAAGGTATGGAGACAGGACACATCCCTGACACACTCCCTTCCTGATTTGAACCAGGCAGTGTTTCCCTCTACTGTTCTGACTACTGCTTCCTGGTCCAAGTTTCACATAAGCACAATCAAGTGTTCTGGGATTCCTATTCTCCTCAAGGTTAACTGCAATTTGTTGTGATCTCCATAGTCAAATGCCTTTGCATAGTTTATGAAACACAGATCAATATCACTCTGGTAAGATGCATCTGGCACTGGAGATAGTATCTCTAGTGCCATGGCCTCTTCTAAACACAGCTTGTATTTCTGATAGTTCTCTGTCAGTGTACTGTTCCAGTTGTTTCTGGATAATCTTCAGCAGGTTTTTGCTTGCATGTGATATGAGTGATATTGTACAATAATGTCCATACGTTTACCAGGTCACCTTTTTTTGAAAAATATTTTCAAAATCATTGCTCCTGAGTGCTGCATAGCATTTCATTGTGTGAATATACTAGAATTAATTTCTCAATCCATTTGTTGGTTGATGGACATTTGAACTGTTTCTATTTTCTTGCTGTTGTGAATAACACTGCTGTGAATGTTGTACAAATTTCCATTTATGTCTAATTTTTGTTTTCCTTGGGATTTATTTCTGTAGTGCAATAGCTGTGTCATAAGGAATTTTTATGTTGAGATTTTTTGAGGAAATTCCCAACTGCCTACCCAATCCCACCGATAACGTATGAGAGTTCCAGTCTCTCTACAATATTTATTGCTTACTGCCCTGTTAAACTTTGCCACTGTTAATGGGTTGAGATGGTATCCCATTGAGATTTTGATTTGCATCTCTTTAATTTCCACTGATTTTGAGTATTTCTTCATGTGTCACACTTGGCCTCCGAATATCTTCTTTTGTCTTTCCATGTCTTTTGCCCACTTTTTGAGATTGGGCTACCAGTCTTTCTTGTGGAGGCCCTGTAGGATTCTGTAAACTTTGGTAATGAGACCCTTGTCTGAAATGTCATTGTTATTATGTGCTGTTGTGTCGCGTGCAACTAGTTCATAGCTACCCTATGTACAACAGCCCTAAACTCTGACTTATCCTGTGCCAATCTCACTACCTACTCCCATTACCCCAGTCAATGAATCAATCTACCTTATAGAGGGTCTTCCCCTCCTGCACCCTCCCAAGCATGACGTCCCTCTCCAAGGACTGATCCCTTCTTGCAACATGTCCAAAATATGTCAGACAAAGCTTTAGAATTCTTCCCTCCAAGGATCAGCCTGGCTTCATCCTCTCCAGTACAAACTTGTTTGTTTTCTTAGCAGTCTGTGGTATATTCAATACTCTTCTCCAGCATCACAGCTCAAAGGCATCAATTCTCTTTCTATCATCCCTAGTCATTGTCCAGCTCTCTGATGCCTAGCAAGTGATTGCAAAGACCATAGCCAAATGGTGGGTTTTTTTAGTTTTTTTGAGTCAGTAGATTTTCTTTTCACACAGGGACTGAATCTTTAGGTCTTACTCATTGATTTATGCTCTCGTGGTTCTGCATTTCTGACTGTACTTGCAAGCCTATTTATTCCATAGGCTAGGCCTTATCAGTTTGGTCCTTTTTTGTCTCTTATGATCTTTATTGTTTGAGGCTTTAACTCTAGGTCTCTGATTCACTTTGAGTTGATTTTTGTATATTGTCTGAGATGTGGATCCTTCTTCAGCTTTCTACAGATAAATACCCAGTTTTGCCAGCACCATTTGTTGAAGAGGTTGTCATTTCTCCATTTGTCGGGCTTTGTTTCCTTGTTGAATACCAGTTGACTGTAGGTAGATGGGTTCATCTCTAGGTTCTCCATATTATTACGTTGGTTTATGTGTTTGCCATTGTACCAGTATTATGCTGTTTTCGTTACTATGGCTGTGTTTTGAGATCAGGGAGTTCATTTTTTTTTTTTTTTTCAAAATTGCTTTTCTTATTTTGATTCTTTTTCCTTTCCAAATAAAATTGTCAGTTCCCTCTCTTTGAAGAATGTGTTTAGTATCTGTATTAGGATTGCATTAAATGTACAGATTACTTTGGGGAGGATTTTAATTTTCACTATTGTTGTGTCTTCCTATTCATGAACAGGGAACATTTTTCATTTATTTAGATCTCCTACTGTTTCTCATAGTAGTGTTTTGTAGTTTTCCTTATAAGGGTCTTTTGTGCTTCTAGTTAGGTTTATTCCCAAGTATCTCAATTTTTCAGCTTTTGTAAATGGTGTTGCTTTCTTAGTTTCTTGGCCTGTTTTTTCTTTTTTACTGTAGAGGAATCTCACTGACTTTTGTATATTGATCTTATATCGTACTATTCTACTAAATTGGTCTACTAGATCTAAGTTTGTTGAGTCCTTGGAGTTTTCTGTATACACTGTCATATCGTTTGCATATAGAGACAGTTTTACCATCTCTTTGCCTATCTGGATACCGTGAGGTTAGTTTGCTGTTCATTTTATGTTTTATGGAGCTGTTGATTTAGATCATTAATTTTGCTTCTTAACTTCCTTTTTTTCCGTATTTCCCTATTGCTATGAACTGTCTCTTTTGGACTACCTTAGCTGTTTCCCAAAAGTCATAGTTTCATTTGTTTTGAGGAACTTTTTTCTTTTTTATTTCTTTTATAATCCAATAGTGTTCTGTTGTTGTTTTATACTGTAGAGTTGGAACCAACCTATAGCTGACCCTCCAGCATGTTTTCAGAGGCAGTTACTCATATGGGAGGAGATTGCCCATCCTTCTTCCTCAGTAGTGTTCTAACAGGGTGGTTTTTGTTTTTTTTTGTTTATTTGGTTTTTTTGGCTTCCACGTGGGTGGGGTTTTTGTCCTTTATGCTCTTGTCATTAATTTCTAGTTTTATGGCATTGTGGTCTGAGAAGATTCTTTGTATTATTTCAGTATACTTTTGCTCTGTGCCTTAATGCATAATCAGTTCTGGAGAAATGTACCGTGTGTATTTGAAAGTAAATTGTTTTAGTTGGGTACAGTACCCTGAGTACTTCCACCAGGTGGAGTTGGCCAATTGTATTGTTTAGATCTTTGTTAATTTTCTTTCATGTTGACTTATCCTTTGATGAGAGTGATGTATTGAAGTCCCCCTGTTGCTGTTGTGGTGCTGTGTGTTTCTTATTCATGCTTGTTAACTGTTTTTGGTTGGTTTGTTTTTTAATATATTTTGCAGGTCTGTCATTTGGTGTATTGACCAGGGTTATCACTTCTAGGTTTCTTGAGCCTTTAATATATAATGCCCTTCCTTATCTTTTATGGTAGTTTTCAAACTGAAGTCTGTTTTATCAAAGATTAGTATTATAAAATAAAAAAGATTAGTATTATCACTCCTGCTTTTCAATGGGTTCCATTTTCTTGGTGTATTTTTTTTCCAGCCCTTGATTTTTTTAGTCTGTCTTTTTCCTCATTTCTTAGATGTGTAGGCAATATATTGATGAGCTTTGTTTTTATATCCATTCTGCTAATCTTTCCCCTTGATTGGTACATTTAATCTATTCACATTAAATGTAATTCTTGACAGAACAGAATTTATTGCTGCCATTTTACTATGTGGGTTTCTTTTAAAATTATTTCTGTTCACTGTGGGTCATCTACTTTCCTTTGATGTCTCTGTGTAAAGCATTTCCCTTACAATTTCTTGTGGAGTTAGTTGGTCTTGTTTTCACAAATTCCTTAAGTTCCTGTTCTGCAGATGACCTAATTTCTCCTTCATATTTGATGGACCGCTTTTCTGAGTACAGGATTCTTGGCTGGCAGTTGTTTTCTTTCAGCCATCTGTTAGACCATCATTGTCTTCTTGCTCATGTGATTTCTTGCTAAGAAATCAGAATGTGTTGTAATGGCTTTGCTTTTAGGTGACTCTTTGTTTTCCTCACACTGCTTTTAGAATTCTTTTAGAAAATTTGACTATGATATGTTTTTATTTTCTTTTGGGGTTTGTTTGGGTTCACTGAGTTTCTTAAATGTGATACCTGGGAAGTTTTCTTCTAGTACCTCTTCCACAGTTTTCTTAATATCACAATATTCCAGGCTTCTTTCTTTTACTTTTTAAAGGCAGAATAGTTTCTTAAAACTAGTTAAACTATTTAGATAGTAAATCTTAACTTGTTTCTATGCAAAAACTGTACCACCCAGGTTGCCTACTTTTTTCCCCCTCCAGTTTTTTTGTTTTTCATGACCTTGGCATCTGAACATTATCACTACAAAATTTAGCCTTCATGGAAAATGAAATTTTTATGCTACTATGTAGGCAATTCCAGTGCCTCAGTTGAGCTTGACACATAGGAGGTGCTCATAAATATATGTTGGATGAGTCACTTCAGAAACAACCTTGAGAAATCACGTGTGGTTTTAAGAGGAGAGCTGGAAGCATGGCCCATTTTATATCTCAGTTGGTTTGTTTGAAAGGCTCATTTATGACTAGAATGCTTAGATCTTGATTCCCTAGTGGTGGTGGTGTTTGATGCCGTCGAGTCATAGACGACTCATAGCGACCCTATGAACGAACGGCCTGAGCACTGTTCGTACATAGAGTTTCCTGAGGCAAGCCATTTCGGAAGTGGATGCCGCTCCTGCTTCCAGGCTTGATTTAGTTGGGAAGCTCCAGCCAGCACTGTCCACCATGGGTACCCATTACCACGACAGGCACATCACTGTCACAGTCTTCAGCATCACAGCAACCACAAGTTACCTCTGTACAGCAACGCGATAAACTGGTTATTCTTTTAATATGTTTACTAAAATGAGAACTAGTATAAGTCACTTAAAGGTCAGGTTGAATCCACTTGTTCCCTTCTTGAAGGAAAAAGCTTTGTAGTGATATATTCTGATTTCAAGGTCATTAAAAATAAAATTGAAAATTAAAAAAAACCACGTGAATAATACAATTTTACATAGATATAGTTAAGATTTTTTTTAAAAAAAAATTATCCACTGCAGTATTTAAAATATATAGAAGGTTAAAAGATACTGAGTCTCTGTGTAGCTCCTGAGAATCACATTCCAACTGATCATTACCAATTTAAAGTAAGAATAATGTTGTTCTTCTTGTTGTTATGTGCCGTCGAGTCGCTTGCAATTCATAGCGACCCTGTGTACAACAGCTCTAAACTCTGCTCTGTCCTGTGCCAATCTCATTGTCTCCGACACACTCATCCTGATTGCCCCAGTCACCAAATCAGTCCATCTCCCAGAGGGCCTTCCCCTCCTGCGCCTGCCCTCTATCCTCCCAAGCATAATGTCCCTCTCCAAGGACCAGTCTCTCCTTACAACATGACCAAAGTATGTCAGATGAAGCCTCAGAATCCTTACCTCCAAGGAGCAGCCTGGTTTAACCCTCTCTAGGATGAATCTATTTGTTTTCTTAGCAGTCCATGGCACCTTCAGCACTCTTCTCCAACACCAAAGCTCAAAAGCATCAATTCTCCTTCTATCCTCCTTGGTCATTGTCCAGCTCTCTGATGCATAACAAGTTATTGCAAAGACCAGGGCCTGTACCGGACGCACCTTTGTCTCCAGAAACATACCGTTGCTCTTGAGTACTTTAGAGAGGTCCCTAACAGCAAACTTTCCCATGGCAATACATCTTTTAATTTCCTGGCTGCTGGTGCCAAGAGTGTTGATTGTGAAGCCAAGCAAACTAAAGCTGTGTGCAATCTCAATCTCTTCACCATCCATCCTGATGCTGCCAGTTGGTCCAGTGGTGAGAATCTTTGTCTTCTTGACATTGAGCAGTCCCTGACCCTCAGCAGCAGGCTCTTCAGGTCCTCAGTTTCAGCAAGCAGGGTTGTGTCATCTGCATAATGCAGATTGTTTATGGATCTTCCACCAATCCTGATGCCACATTTCTCCTCATAGAGTCCAGCCTCCCGGATGATCTGTTGTGCATAAAGGTTGAAATGAATAATACAAAACTTTTTTTCTTAAGTTTCGGAGTTTTTGTTCCTGACTGATATGAAAAACTATTGGGCTCTAGAATGGTTTAGTAGGATTATGTTATTGAATTTTTGTCCACAAACCTCACAGAATACTGCATACCTATTCTTGACACTGCTTCTTAATCTTTATTTCTCAACACTGTTGATTTCATCTCTGTGTATTTCAATTATCTGTGCTAATGAAAGTAACAGACTAATTTTGCCTGTATCAGTGTATTTAACTAATATCTACTTCTCAACTTTTATTTACAGAGGGATCTGTCAGGGCACAAGAATATTGTGGGTTACATTGACTCAAGTATCAACAATGTGAGTAGCAGTGATGTATGGGAAGTTCTTATACTGATGGACTTCTGTAGGGGTAAGTATGTGATCGTGCTCTTGAAGCTCGCTTTTCTCTAGCATTTTGATTGCCAGCACCCTGGGAATCAGTTCGGTTGACGTATACTGTACCCTCAAGTAAGGAGCTCTGATTGTGTAGTCCATAGGAAGCTGCACTGCACATCCAAAGGCTGAGTATCTACAGGTTTGGATCCTTCAGCAGGGACTCTGAGGGAGAAAGGTGGACAGTCTTCATGTGATTTATCTCCTGCTGGTGATTCACCTATGAGTTGGTTCTTACTCAGCAGCAATGCATGAGTGAGTATACTAAGGTAAACTGTTGTATTCATAATTCATTCTGCAAAGATTAGTAGCAGACCACTTATAAGAAGTACAGAGTCCACATTGTCCCAAATGTTTGATTTGTGGCTTCAGTATTCTCTGTTCAGTTCCCTGACTCCTCTATGTCCATTTGGGTCTTTGGTTTGCTCCCAGGGTCTTCCAGAGACTCAGACCTGTCAGGGGAGTGACTCATGAGACTGTAGGTGTGCAGACTGGTTTTGCAGGGACTGCTGAGTATTGTAGACTACCAGTTTCAGTGTAGCTGGACAGGCAAACGTCCTAAAAAGAGGGCTAGCACTGAAGTCTCATGAACTTATCAAAGCTTTGAGTAGGGTGGGGCTTGTATCCTCCCCTCATCCTCTCTCTTTTATACAGTAAATACTTCAGCACAAATAAACCATTAATCATGGGCTAAGAAAGACATTTTTGAACAAGAAAGACATTTTTGAACGATAAAAACCTTTGACACTACAGAGCTGTTCTGTTTTAAAGATGGAAAACCTAAGATTTGGAGTCTGCTATCAGTTATTGGGTAATCAAAAGTGATGGATAATACAAAGTGTCATTTTGTTAGATTTAGGAAGATTTGACAATTGTATATAAATGAGAATGAATGTATTATTTGTGATAGATACTTCACAACCTAGGATGATTATATGTTGTAAAGACCTGACTACAGATATAGCCTGAAAAACAGTTCAGCTTCCTATTCCCTTGCTGGTGTGTTCTCTTCTGCCATATAGCCATCCTTGAAAGAGAGTCAAAATCCTTTTGTTGCAGATAAAATGCTTTTGCTTTCCATACTTTATAGCCACATTTTCTCTTAAGGCCACATTCAAGTGATGGACTGTTAACAGTGGTGGTAAGGAAGTTGAAAAATCGTATGTATTTTGGGATTTCCAGATTATAGCATATATATTTATTCATGGTTGACTGAATTTTATATATCTGTGATTTGAGGCATTGACTTTTTTTGATCTAAACAGATACAAGCTTGGGTGATTTTTTCATGCCTTGTTTTGTAAGCACCTCACTCTTTTTACTGCCTTTGTGGTCTCAAAATGTGATGTTAATCAGTAATTTCACCTTCTACTGTAACAGTTAACCTGATTCTGTAAAATTCTACTAAATTTGAACTTAACCGTTTATTTCCTATTAAATGTTTAGAGACCAGGTAACATCTTAAAAAAACACACAAACTGGTTGTCATCGAGTCATTTCTGAGTCACAGAGCATCAAGATCAGTTTAAGTTATAGGCAAAGTCACTGGTCATGTGTTACAAAGATTTTAACCCTCAGCTTTTCAGCTCCAGCAAGTTTAAGAGGCGAAACTGTTCCTAAAGTAAAGAATACAAAGTTGTATGTATCTCATACATAATTGGTGCAGTGCAAGCAGGTAACTACAGCAGGACTATATTGTCATTTCAACTACTAATCTTGAAGACAAATCAGGGCAGATCACCTCTGCGGTGCTTTGTAAAATAAAATAAAAATAAAAAAAAACAACAGCACAAAATTTTTAACATATTAGGGCAGCTACAGGAATGAAAACATTCCAGGAGCTAAGACAACTATTCCAGTGATGGCTATAAGTTATCAGCTCTGTTCCTGCAGTTCTGGAGGCCTATTTTTGTGCTTGTTGACAAGTCCTGAGTGTTTATATCCTTTCCTTTTCATATTCACAGGAGGCCAGGTGGTAAACCTCATGAATCAACGCCTGCAAACAGGTTTTACAGAGAATGAAGTGCTACAGATATTTTGTGATACCTGTGAAGCTGTTGCCCGCTTGCATCAATGCAAAACTCCTATTATTCACCGAGACCTGAAGGTAACCCACAGCATGTTTCACTAAGCATGTTCTGTGTGCCTCAGGGTGTGAGAGATGTGATTCTTAAGTCTAAGTTTCCACTTGACTTGGAGGAGAGAAATACAAAGGGGAAATATGCATAGCATAGGTATAAATTGTATTAGCTCACTAGCATTTAGAAAAAAATTTTTAAGATGCCCCTAATGTAAGATTTGTGCTTCTTTGATTTTCCCTGATATACTCCCAAATTCACTTTTCTTTTCTTTTTTTTTTTTTTTTTTAAGAAGGGACCACTTTATTCTGAGGCAAGCCTCAATTGAGCTCCTAAGGCCCAGAGAAGGGGGTGGTCTGTGGACCAGGAATGAACCAGGGAAGGAAGTCATTCTTTTTGGAAGATCAGGCACTTGTTGGCAGGCATGTCCACCATTCGCTCCAGGAGCAGGCCGCTGGTCTGACCCAAGTGTCGCAGGAAGGCCGTGTCCCGCAGTCCCCACTCCGGGTTTCTGTGTCTGAGGGAGAGGTCAAAATCCACATTGCTCTGAGGAGTAATGGTCCCGTTGACTGAGTAAGGCCCATAGGTGATCAGCACCGCCTTAGGCTTGAGTAGATGCCCAGCCGCCTTGAACAGTCCCTCGGTGCAGCGCAGTGGACTGATGTGAATCATGTTGATGCAAAGCAGCAGGTCCAGAGACTGCTGGCCGATCCCGCCCCACTGCTCCCAGCCCCAGGTCACATCCAGGTACAGCGGGGCCTTCATGTTCGTCAGCCCCTGGGCCTTAGTGGTGGCTGAGATGCTGTTTAGGCAGCGCTGGTCCACACCTGACAGCTGCCACTCCACGTGGGGGAAGGCCCGGGCAAAGTAGGCCGCGTGCAAGCCAGAGCCGGAGGCCACTTCGAGAACGCGGACGCCGCGCTGGGCTGGGTCTACATATTGCTTCAGTACCTGCAGAATAGGCTCTTTATTCCTCTCAGCCGCCCCAGACACCCCAGGTAGCCCAGCACCCGACATCGCCGCCCTCAGGAGTTTCCAAATTCACTTTTCTGAGGTTTTGAAGAAATAATACTCATTTAAATAGTTTGTAAATAATAATATTTTTGGTTTCTAAGCTCTACTTCATATTATTCAAAACCATTAGTTGACTATTTTTAAAACTGATCCTACTTACTATCCTTACCTTGTACCATGCCTTTCATATTGTAGGCCCTTGGCAATATTTGCACAGCATGATTGGCACCTGGTTAGGATTCAATGGCATTTATGGAACATAGGCTCTATGCCATATATTTTATAAGACACTTATGTCTTCTGTCTTGTTGGAAGGATTCTGATCTCCACCTTATTGTTTAGAAAACAAGGATCAGAGAGGTTATATGACTTGTTTAAGTACATTTTAACTAGACAAGAACAGACCTAGAATCTAAATCTACCTCTACTACTATGAAATTACAGTTGGTTTTAATGATACCTCTGTTGCAAAGAACATGGTTCCTGGCTAATGACTTAAATCATAATCCTCTGGAGTGTTTAGTTGTGCCACAATTTTGCTAGTGGTGTCAGAGAGGCCCAAGAATTCACATACTGATAGGAACCCTAGGTAAATCTTAACAAATTCTAAAGTTTCAGCATCTCAGCAGCATCCTGGGATTCCTTTTATTTTAATTAAAAAAAAAATAGATCAATCATATACCATAAAATTCACTCTTGCAGAGTGTGCAATATTGGGTTTTGTCACTTTGGACATGTTATTAGGAGAGGACAGTCCTTGGAAAGAGACATTATGGTTGGAAGAATGGAGGGTCAGTAAAAGAGAGAAAGACAAGCCCCCTCTGTTGACTGAGAGTGTCACTGCAGCAGTGGATTCAGATGTATCAGAGATGGTGAGGATGGCACAGGATACAGGAGTCAGATCTGTTGTTCATAAGGCCACTTTGAGTTATACTCACCTCGAGGCACCTATGATTCTTCTACCATCCTTATTCATAGTCCAACAGTACATAGTAAGTAATGAGAAAGACCATGACCTGAATCAGGAGCACCATAATCTCCCAACTGACATCATTTCTCTTCAGTATATTGGAGAGGTCTCTGGCGCCGGACTTGCCCAATGCAGTATACCTCCTTTTCTCCTGACTTCTGGTATCAAGTGTACTGATTATGGATCCAGGCAAGATGAAATTATTAACAGTTTCAGTCTTTTTTTTTCCTAACATAGTGTTGCCTACTAGCCGCATGGTAATGACCTTTATCATCGTCTTTTTTTTTTTTTTTTTTAAGGAAAACAAGTACATAGGGTCGCTATGAGTTGCAGACAATTCGATGGCACATAACAACAACAACAAAGGAAAACAAGTTAAAAAGAAATATAGATAGACCGTGGGGAAAGAAGGAGAGAAATATTCTTGAAAGGTCAGGGGTGAGCCCAAACCTTTTGGCATGCTACTAGCAATAGGAGAGAGCAGACCTTTGTCTTCTTGATAGTAGGATGTAATTCATATTGAAGGTTGTAGTCTTTGATCTTCTGCAACAGGCATTTCAGATCCTCTTGCTTTCAGCCAGTAAGGTTGTGTTGTGGAGGAAGATTCATCAACAAACTGCATTACTTTCAAATTTAAGAACATTTGTATGACTCCATAAAGAAATCCTGTGGCTAGTAGAAATGTGTTTATTGAGTGCCATCTAGTTGACTGTAGCTCAGTGACCCTGAGAATGACAGAATCCTGCCTTGTGTTACATTGTCCTCACCAGCTTGGCCTTGTAACAGTCCCTGTGTCAGGCCATCACCTTTGAGGGTCATTCTTTCTCTAACCGTTCACCTTTCCCAGCAGGATCTTTTTTTCTCAGGATTGGTCCCTCATGATAGTATGCCCAAGTATATGAGATAAAATTTCACCATCCTTGCCTCCCATCCTAGTTGCTCTTCTTCCAACTTTCAGATTTGTTTAGTCTTTTGGGAGTCCATGGGATATTCAGTATTTTCTGCCAGCACAATTAAAAAACAAAAATTTATCTTTTATTTTCCTTATTCATTGTTCAGCTTTCGGATGCATAGGAAGCAATTGAAATACCATGGCTTGGATAAAGCACACCTTACTCTTTAAACTGACATCTTAGCTCTTTAGTACTTTGGCGGTAGTTATTTTCTTAATGGAATATGTCTTTTGATTTCTTGATTATTGCTGCCAACTGTGTTGATTATGGATTTATTCTTTTCTCCATCTATCATAATGTTGTCTATTGATTCAGTGGTGTGATGTTGAGATGTTACATATCTTGAAGATTGAAATCTTTGATTTAATGCAGTAAGTCCTTCACATCTTCACTTCCTACAACCAATTCTGTGTCATCTGCATAATGTAGATTGTTGATGAATGTTCCTTCAATTCTGGTTACGTATTCTTCTTCAGTTCAGCATCTAGAATTTTTTGCTCACATTCCGTATTGAACTGTGGTTTGGGCTTCTGTGCCATTAAGTTGCAGCTGACTCACAGCTGACCCTCCAGTGACTTTATAGAGGCTGCACACATCCCCCAGAAGGAGATTGCCTCTCTTTCTCCTGCACAACTGGTGCATTCAAACCACCTGCCTTTGGCTTGACAATGCAACTCTTTACCACAAAGATACAACAGCTTGATTAAGTACAGAAAAAGGAGACAACCCTGATAACACGCCCTTCCTGATTTTAAGATATGCATTATTCTTGGTTCTGTTTAGGCACAGTTGTGTGGTCTAGGTATTAGTTTTGCATGAACACAGTTGTTCTAAGATTCCCGTCATGATAGACAGTGAAGAAATTGAGACTGTTAACAGCTTCAGTTTGCTTTACTCCTTAATCAACACTGTTGGTACCAGCAAGCAGGAAATTAAAAGATGGCTTTCATTGAGAAAGTCTGCTATCAGGGACCTCTCCAAAGTCCTGAAGAGCAACAATGTCAGTCTGGAGAATAAAATGTAGGCACATTCTGATCCAGGCCATTATCTTTGCAATTACTTGCTGTGCATCAGAAAGCTGGACAATGACTAGGGATGATAGAAGGAGAATTGATGCCTTTGAGCTGTGGTGCTGGAGAAGAGTATTGAATATACCATGGACTGCTAGGAACACAAACAGGTTGTTCCTAGAGAGAGTGAAACCAGGCTGCTTCTTGAAGGCAAGGATTCTGAAGCTTCGTCTGACATACGTTGGACATGTTGCAGGGAGGGACCAATCCTTGGAAAGGGACATCATGCTGGGAAGAGCGGAGGGACAGCGCAAGAAAGGAAAACCCTCAATGAGATGTATTGATTCATTCTCTGGGGTAGTTGGGGTAGGTTTGTCAGAGACAATAAGGTTGTCATAGGATACAGCAGGGTTTAGGGCTATTGTACATAGAGTTGTTTGCTATGAGTCTCAAATGACTCAATGGTACATAACAAGAAGAAGATTCCCATTATTGTCTATGTTACCTGAAATTTGTTGTTATCCACACAGACAAATGCCTTGGTATATTCCATAAAGCACAAGTAAACATCTTCTAATAATCTCTGCTTTCAGCCAAGATCCATCTGACATCAGCAATGATATCCTTGTGCCACAGTCTCTTCTTGAATTCAGCTTGAATTTGGGGGAGTTCACAATCAATATACTATGCCAACCATTTTTTTTCATTCATTCATTGTTGCACTTTTTTCTTTACCTCCCACCCTCCCACTTCGCATCTCTTTTTGAAAAGCAAAAGTTAAACTTCTTTGTTGGTATACAATACCCCCGACCCCGACCCTGCCCCCCTCCAGCCCCAAATGCGCTCCACTATGCAACCTTAATTCTGGATTCCTGTGATAATCATAATATGCTATCATATATCACTTTTAAACGGTTTCTCCCTCATCTGTTTCAATTCAGTATACATATTCTATCCAGTTTTTCTCAGTCTTACCCCAACCCTGATGCCAGTCACTTTCTACAACAGTTATCAGTTATGCCAACCATTTTTAAATGGTCTTTAGCAAGATTTTCCTTGTATGCTGTTCTTATTGTTATGTG